TATATTTTAGGGCAATCCAGGCCTCTCCCATATCAAAATTGTGGGTAAACTTGTATTTTACCATTATAATCGACTACATTACTTATATTAGTTGTAAGTAGGTATCAAATATATCAGTAAATCTTGAAAAGAAGTTCTTGCTTTGGAAGGAAGACCTACTCACATAATTGTGAACAAATACATTTATAATCCCTTCATCAGCGTATAAGATCTCAGATGACCAGAACTTTATTAAGCATGCCTACTTTACAAATAGATTATGTTTTATCGCGTACTGGATCTAGCCTAAATAGGTTGTTAAAATGGGTTACATTATGCTTAGTTAAATTTATGTTTTAAAACATTTATTACATTTGAATACTTTACTGCTAGCGCCGAAGTTGGAACTACTAAGGGTACTTACATTTGCTAATTAGTATCTTTTAAATTTTCGTGTATTCCTTTTTATGTGATTAAGATTAACATAAATAAAACTCAACGATGTCTTCGGCTATGTTCTGCCCTGTTGATTCTTCTAAACTAATTTTCTTTGCTTAAGTTAACAAGAAACGTTTATGTCCCAAGCACTGTAAGCCTTAGATATAAAATTTGTAGATTCGTATTTATTCGTCACTTTAGATGAAATGGAGCGAATACATCTATTAAAACTCAACCATCCCTTCTTTAATATGCTTAATCAACCTAACGTGATTAATCGAAGGTAGGAAGAGCAAGATGGTGTGGCCTTTTGTGTGGTCGCAGTCTCCTTTCGTTGTATAGAGGTTGTTTGACATTGTTTTCGAAACTTGGTCATATTGGTAGGAAGACTTAGAGGAACGCACCTAGTCTTGAGTCCATTGTATGCATGATCACAACATTTGTGGGTTGGCACACAAGAGACTAGGGCATAACAAGTCATAGACTTGGTAATAGGGATAGAGACAGGATAGAAACGACGGAGACTGGAGCTAGTTGGCTGACATTAGGTTTTACCAGAGACGTGGTCCATGTAGCAAAGGCGTGACCATGAGACTTACTCAGAGGCTTTAGCCTTTAATTAGTTACCCAGACGCATGGAAGGGATAATAACGCCTCGAGTAGCACAAATCGGGTGGCAAGGTTCGAGTAAAATACGTGAACCAGGGATGAAGTAGACGGATCTTAGGGGGCAAGAGGGAGACTGTGATAAGATTTAGGGAAGGAGGACTGCGTAACAATATGACATACTTTGATCAACATTCCCAGTACAAGGGTGAAGGGTGAAGATAGACATAGGGAACACACCACACTACATCGAAATAAGCACTGTAAAAATTGAAACAGTGAAGGTGAGATAGGAGGATATAGGAAATGTGAATAGCAGAAGGGGAGATACAACAACTGTTTAGCACACGTTTGGCCAAAGGATCTGCTTCACTTGTCCCTTTGACAAGTTGTGTGGTGCTAAGAATGGCGACACTCACTGACGATGCCGGCGAAACGTCTGGGAATATACCACATCCACGGTCCGACTTTGGAAATGATCGTGCATACAATGGACTCCGGACTAGATTCGTTCCTCTAAGTCTTCCTACCAATATGACCAAGTTGCGAAAACAAGGTCAAACAACCTCTAACGTAATTATCTTTCTTATTTGGTCACTTTGAACATAATTATTTACATATATAAAATAAATAAAGGCATACACGGTATAGAAATGTGTCAACTCCACATTTGATGGCAATTTACTTGAAACTCTTCATAATTTTAAGAATCCTGTTTTTATCCTCTGCCTGTTCATTACTTTCCAATAATGCTTGCCTATCTCAATACCTTTCACATTTATTAACTCATCGTTGGATTAACATAATTCGCTTTAATTAAATTTGCTTACAGTATTTCAAAAATGTTGATCCATTTGAGAATTTCATTAAAAGCAAAGTTTTTTAAGGATAAACTACATGATTAATTGAACTTTTTATGAATTTTTTTATTTTTTGCAATAGTTTCATTGTCGAAATTTAGCTACCTAACTCATATAATTTATTATTTTCACTTAATTATTTTTACTCATTATTTTACGTTCTGGCAGGTCGTCACTCCAAAACTCGTAAATGCTAGGTACTGTGAAAATTTCGTCCATGTCCTTTGGAAAGATGGTAGCACTGTGCATATTCAAGTACCTCCTCAGGTATATAGGCGATATAAACAGCAAATGGAAGCTTGCCTTTCAGAAATAGAGCGCCGAATCGACTGGCTGCGGCGTGGTTCTCGTGAACTCTTTGGTACAATTATGGAAGATGATGTAGGTCCTTCATAAAGAATTCTTAATCATGTTATTATTTTGGCTTACTATCCTACCTTGTTAATCTCTAATGGTTAATTACTGTATGGAGTTAGTTCGTTTCAAGGTTTGCTGGATATTTGATGATAATTCTCGAACCTCTCTTCATTTTTAAAATATATTTTAATTAAATAACTGCTTAAGTTATTTCTAAACTCGCCCTACTTCCTCCTTTCTACTCTTTCAAGCCATTAGTACAATGATAATAACGCTAAGAAGTCGGCCTAGTCTTCATGCGACCATAAGTTATATGGTTAATTTTTATAATAATTTGAGCACTGGTTATTATAATATGTATTAGTTTCAACGAAACATTCAACACTTCTTACATAGTGAATTCATACAGTGGCAAGTTTCAGGGTAAGCTTAGTAAATTAAGCCCATCAA